AACACTAGGGTTATATTTGCACAGCGGTAGGATAAGCTGTTGGGCAGTAGCTAATTCAGATAAATTTGTGGGTTGTTGGGATTGTGCTGTTGAAAAATAGTTATTTTGTATTTTTTTTTGGATGATTGATCATTCTGCCTCTATGCAGCAATGTTATTTGGGATAGAACTGTCATAATAATATATTTGATATTGAGAAGCAAAAAATCAGTTGAAAACAGTACAAAAAATAATATATACATCCACTTAAGAGCGAGTATCGAAATTGCTGAAAAAAACTATTAAAATTATATTTGAAAATATGATGATATTAGTTTTAAAATGTTAACGGCTTATGTCACGAGCTACGTTGTTCTTCAGGGATGCCATATAACCCCGATCATCATCAGCTGTGAAATCTACTAGATTGTTTGCTCATCGGAAGAAGTCATACTTTTTTATGATTCTTCGTGGGCACCCGCAAACCTGTCTTTTGTAGCTATGTGTCTGACTTAGCGTCGGTAGGGAAGTTTGAAGTCCATAGTGCCAGAGCAATCATCAGGAGGTACTTGAAATCTTAGAGCTTATGTTCCCTTAATGATTCAAAAGACAATCCATAAGTCATAACACAAATATAAATTGACAAAAGTAGTTATCTATTACAGATTTGTGTTAAAAGAATAAACAACCAAAGCAGATAAACATACAGATCAACATATGGATTGTTCATGCTAGAAAGAAAAACATCCAAATAAGATATCCCATGAAACAAACAGAAAAAAAAAACCAAAGCCACTAAACAATAACTCCACAAAATCAATTATCCTTGCTGTCCATAAATAAACGTAAATAGTCAACCCTAAGATCAAAGGACATCTTCATGAATATTTGTCGGGGTCGGGTTCTCCAACAACTTCAAGGAGTTCAGCTACAATGGCTTATCCCTATAAAATTCGGGATTTATCTCCAAAACTTGAAGAAAGACGTCTATGTAGATGTCATGTGAAGTACGACTTTGAATTGCGCACGCTTCCACCAGTTTTATTATTTGGCTTCTGACAAAAGCAGCTCATTTTTTTGTTTTTCTCCTCCCTAAGTCGCGTTGACCCACTTGTTTACTTAGTCTCCAAGTCCTTTGGTATGCTTGCAAACCCATGATCACTTGAGGTGAACACATGAGTGTCCGTTCCAACAACCCCATTGAACATACTGTCCAACTTCACTTCCAGGTTAAACTCAATGCCATTGAATTTGAATTTTTTTGTTGCTGACACTGCCTGCAACACACATGCTAGTTTATTACTTAATGTAGCTTCGTGGGATAAAGAATGCAAAAACAAAGAATCATTGCATAGATTACTATCTCTAATTTCTCAATCCACCAGTCCTCTAGTCCTCCGAAGCATCTATTGTTCATTTCACTGGATCCCAGCCCAAGCTCGTGGATTTCCGTTTTAGTTCCTTCCATAATTTCTAGTCCTTCTTCAGCTGTGTCCACTTGTGCAACCAGTCGTACCCCGATCTTGTTATTTTCTTGAACTTATTCATACTATTTTGTTGCCCTTATTTATTAAAATAGGTGGTGGGTCTATTTACAAGCTCAACTTCATTAAGACATATGTTGCAAAATATGACTTTAGCTTCACTATCCCACATTATTGAAAAACCCATTTCTTTAGTTTTAACCATTGATTTACTAGCACAAAAAAAAAAAAAAAAAATAATAATAAAAATTGACAACACAACAACACAAAAATTAGCCACCCAAGCCATAAATCCAACTCATAGACCACCACCCTAGCCCACAATGACCGCACAACCACACAAATACAAAACTCATAACCACCCACAGACCCAAAACCTACAACCACCCACGGACCCAACCCACATACCACCACCCAAACCTATCCACACCACACAACCGCACAGATATATAACCCACAACCACCCGCAAACCCAACCTATAGACCGCTACCCTAACCCAACCACACCACAAAACCCACACATATACACAACCCACAGTCACACAAAGTCATAACCCACAGACCACCACCCAAACCCAACCTACAACCACCATCTAATCTCACAGCCACCCACAAACCCAACCAATATAGATACAAAATACATAATCATGGCACAACCCACATATCACCACCTAAGCCCACAACCACTAGAAGCACAAACACCACCTCAAAGCCACACACACACACACCCACAACACCTTAACCCGCTGCCATAAAGCCAACCACAACCACCAACCCAACCCACAGCCATGACAAAACCACAGCCCACAACCATGACCATAACCAACTGCCAACACAAAGCACAAAAACCCAAAGAACCATAATTGATAACCACCACAAAGCTAACCACAATCACAACAACCAATAACCATCACCAGAACCAATAACCACCACAAAGAACCATAACTAACAGTCACCACAAAGAACCACAATCAACAGCCACCCAAAGCCCACAACCACCACTAAACCACTCAGAACCACAACCGACAGCCATCACCACAACTGACGGCCACCACAAAGTACAACCGAGCCCACAACCACATGTGCACATCTCAGATTATAGAAAATATCCCCACATTTTACACAACCACTAGAAGCATAGACATCACCCCAAATCCACACCCACAACACCTTAACCCACTGACGCAGAGTCAACCACTACCACCAGCCTAACCCAAAGCATTAGTGCAATGCTTCATTTATATTTTTCTTATGAAAAAAAAGAGAGTATAAAAACGAGAGTATAACTAAAAGGCTGACACATGAAAGCACTTCCATCTTAGAGAGTATAAAAACTAAAAGGCTGACACATGAAAGCACTTCCATCTTTACCATAAAAAATAATTTTTTGCCGAACAACAAAAGTTTCTGACCTCTCCAAAACTTTTTAATCAATCTTTCTAAACTTCTAAAACCAAGAAAACAAATAATTATGAAAAATAAAAGAAGCAATACTCTACATCATATCACAAACTTTTGGGGCATTTACGTACGTATCACATAACTTTTTTGTATTTTACATATCTCACACATAAGGCCTTCATATATAGACAAATAACACAACATACTTTCACATTAACTTTGAAATTTTGGTACTTTTGATATATAACCGACATAGAGCTTTCTATCTATCAGTACCATTGTGCTGCGTTATGACATGAATTTATATTGGCTTGAAGATTATCTTGCCTATCTTTAAGAAAGTTCATAATGAATATTCAATGGACAATATGCCAAATAATGATGAAGGCATAAAGATGGTTTGGGTTGTTAATTCTAAGTCATCCCAAAATCATAAGAATTCATAATTCCTAAAACTCTACAGCTTAAACGACTGAAGAAAATTAAACAATCTACAGGAAACAATAGAGCCCAAATGAACCATCTAAAATGAAGATCTTTAACAAAGATCAAAACAACTAAAAAAATCCCAACATGTCAAGAGATCCAACATAGAAAAATGCCTAAAAGGAAAAAAGGGGGAAGGAGATGCTGAAGTTCTCACCTTTGGATTGCGAGGGAGGAGGAGGAAGGTGTCAGCACAGTCGAGAGAGGGGGAGGGAGATGCCGACGCGGTCGCGAAACAGGGGAGGAAGAAAGTCACTCGAGATATGGGGGGAGGGGTATGACAATAAAGAGTGAGGGTGTAAGTAATAGGAAACGTTAGTCGTGGGGTCAAATTCGCGGCCCATGTTCCACAATGTTTTCCCACCACAACCCGAAACACAATAAACAAACGAAAAAAATGGAGCGCGGTTTGGTGCCACACCGTGCCAAATAATTGGCCCTAAACAGGCCCTTAAAGAGTTGATTCGACATATTTAGCCTCCCTATCAACACCATGTGGACAAGAAAATATTGAGTTTTGTGTTCTAACTTATTAAAATGATTATTCTTGCAAGGTTGCATTTTTCGGCTATGCCTAATGTAAAGCCCCCAAGTTCCAACTTATTAAAGGTGAAACATCCAGTATTAAACCCGGAGAGTTTGATCAAGTTCGAATAATAAAATCAAAATTTTCTTTTTAGATTCTTGGATGGAAAAAGTCTCATAACTCAAGCTAGCTCCGTACCTCTCTTTTTAGCTTTATCGGAACACTGCCTCCCACGAGCCAGGTCTGAGGCAGCATTGTCATTGTCTTTGTAGGGGTAGCCGCTGAGTTTGTTAATGGGGTGATTTGTGCGGGCAAGGAAACACCTCCATAGCTTCTTCCGGCTTGAGCATTGGGTTTTTAGAGATTTCTTGAAGGAGAGAAGAAGCATTGTTTGCTCATTATAGAAGAGAGGCTCAACACAAGAGAGAGATCTTTAAAATGTTGGTCCCGGAAGAGCAGCTTAGAAAGAATTTATTGGCTAGCCTTGGAGGGGAGGTTTCGTGAGAGAGTATGATCTTATTTTATGGAATACTCCCTTGGAGAAAAGGTTTTAAGTGAGGAGAGCGATGTATTTCTTAGTCCTTATTATTTTCCTTTTTATTTGTATTTAATGTATCTCCGCTCTTTTTTTCTTTTATTTATTTTTGCAATTTTTATTTTGAAGTAATTGAAGTAGAATGAGAAATTGCTTATCTCTTTCTTTTTTATGTACTTGACCTTCTACCTTTTGGAGTATGAGGAGAGTCATTTCCTCTCTCTTTATCATTCTTTTCTCTCTGTCTCTATCCTTCTAGCTTTGTGACTTGTCGCATTTTTGCTTTTTAAGTTATCAACTCCACTATCTTGTCACTATATGTCTCCATCTTTATCATCAACTTTTTCTTTTCTGTCCACGTCCACCTGTTAAATTTTTGGTTATTGATTTGTAAATACAAAGGACTATTGCAATAGATCATTATGGCGGTGTTTGGTTGTTATTGGGTTTACGTTAAATAGAATTTAGTAAATTCGATAAATCCTCCCATGAAGATGGAGCTCTTCCATGGTAGAATAATTCCTTTAAATCTGTCACCTATTCATATCTATTAAATCCAGATTTACTATATAATCATGACGGGAGTCGATGTAAAGTAATAGAATGTAACAACTTTCGAGTTAACAGAATCTTGCATTTATGCTCCAAATTTTTTTAGTGTTTTGCTAGATTTAAGTTAAATCCATCACTACTACCAAACACTGTCTATATAAATTTCACTTAAGAAACTCCTCCAACCACTCAGATTTGACCACATAGGATTCAAACAAACGGAAATTTACACACCTAGCATCCAATTCTTCTCTATTTCAGTATCTCACACCAAAACTTTCATTTTTATAAAAATAGCACCTTGCTTCTATATGAAAATGTGGATTTCACTGTTCTCCACTGCTGGAAAGTATGAACTAGGTGCTAGAGTAGTAAAAATGAAAGTTTTGGCCCGAGACACTTAAAAGTGCATAGAAATGGTGTTATGTATGTAAATTCCTCAAAGACAAACACTTTGAAAGAAAAAAAAAAAAAACAGAGGAGGGAATCAAGGATGGCCTGCGGCGGCGGGAGCGGGGGGGCGGGGGGGCGGGCACCCCTTTCGTCACAACAACCCCCACC